CGAGAGTTATGGGGCTAGCTGAGACCAGATGCTGCTTGTTTGAAAGAATTCAGGAAAACCTAAAGCAGGATCCAAGACAGGCCAATCCCATGGTTAAGCAACTGGCAATAGCTTGGGTGGACCTGAAAGTTGGGTGGGGCGGGGCCTCGGAATCACCACGGCTGTATGAGCCAGGTTGCTGGAGTCCCAGACATGGCGGCTGTTTGCCGCCCCAGGAAAGGGCTGACCAAAGAAACAAAGGCCTCCAACAGCACATCTGTCCTGGAGAAGGCCACCTCTCCAATGCCAAACAGCTCAGTTCTTTCCTGTATGTCTCTGGCGCCCCTCGAGTTTCCTCCCCTCCAAGCCTAGAGGGAGCAAGTCTGAGTAAGTCTGTGTGTGGGCCCTTTAAGAGGAGCTGCCTGGGGCTCCAGCCACCGCAGCCTCCCTGAGCCTCAGTTCCTGCTGGTTTTTCCAGCCAGAAGTTATGAGGACTTCTCTTCCTGGCACTGGAACCCTGAGCGGGATGCCTGGTGTGGGATGGGGACCCCTCAGTCCTCAGGGAGGACCTTTCCAGCCGAGGTGTTCTCCTGATTTTTATCCACCACACGCGAGTGTGGGACCAGCCCGTCCACCTCTGCCCTTCCTACCAGTCTCGATGCCCCTGCTTCTTTAATTCCGTAGTTGTAGGACTTCCATTCAGCTGGATTTTAGGTGGTTTTGAATGATGGTTGTTCTGTAGTTTAACTTGTAGTTTGTAACTTTGATGTGGTTGTGGGAGGATGCCATACTGCTTTTACCTACGCCGCCATCTTGACCGGAAGTCTATGTTCTCTCTTATCCTCTAACACAAATTTAAACTCCCATATGTTTCTTGTCTTTATATTACATGTTTATGAAATGTATTACCATTCAGTCATTTAAATATAAAGTTGACTCTATTTTGGATTTTCTTTTTACCACCTCTAATAAAACTAGAGTATATCAGATTGAGAGGAGAGTGGTGCACATTGTACAATGATGGGCCAATTTGAAACAGAAAAACACAAAAGTGACAGGAATACTAAAAAAATTATTTCTAGAGCATGCTATGTATAATAGAAAAAGAAATTAGATGTGACGAAAAGAATAGACTAGAGCAGAACAGAATAGAAGTAGAAATAGTGAAGGCACTTTTTTGTTATGGCCAAGAGATTGGAATACATTCTTTAAGTAATTGAGATATAAAGGAGCTTTCTAAGCAAGAAGTTTACTAGGTCATATTTGCCTTTCCTGATATCATTCACTGATAGGCTCCATAAATTAGAGTTGTATTTGAGTCACTGAATTTACACCATATGTTTTGGCATGACACAAATGTCTCTTAATGGATCTCCCTGATGCCAGTGTTAACCTCATTTGTTGTTGTTGTTGTTGTCAAGAGATGTTGAAAACACTCTTGGTGTTGTGGTAGAAAATTTGGTTAATGTACTTTCAGGAGAGGATAGGAAGAGAAGAATTAAAGGCAGCATGTATTTCCAAGTCTAGATTTTTTCTGTAAAGGGCAGAAAAGAAATGATGCAATAGCTATAGAAGCCCTAATACACGCTTTTATGCACCTGGGAATGATTTAGTAGAGAGGGACATTTGATGGTGTAGGAGACAGAGAAGAAAACTGCTATAACGATGCCTTAAATAGGTAAACGGGGATGGGGATGAAGTATACAGTGAGAAAATAGAATCATTTGTTAGGATCATGGATAGTCTATCCACAGTAACATAAACGAGGGCAGAGTATGTGGACAATAATGCACATACTTTAATAGCTATGGTGGCGGGAGTTTGTGTAAGTTTTTTTTTTTTTTCTAATTTTTTCAGTGATATAAAGAAGCAGGGTTATTAGCTGAAAGTGAGAATAAGGAATAAAGTGAGTTTTGAAGGAAAAATGTATGAAATAATTGGATAGGCAAGTTGATGAATGAATAAACTGGTGAGATTAAATATAGATTTTGAGCAGCATTAAGACCTATTTGAGGTTAGTGGATATAGATTTGTCTAGTTGCTATCAAATGAATGGGTGAGGGGTGGGCTAGTCTAAGCGTCAGTGCAATTCTTATTGGTGTTTTCCAGTATAAGGAAGTAAAATAGAAGCAAGGGAATTGAGAATATTTAAGGGGATGATTGTAAACTGCTCACTAATTTAAGTGGGTAATAAGGACAGTGAAAATATGAGGGAGGACGGCAAGTGACAAAAGGGTAAAGGGCCATAAGATAATAGGATCTGGTCAAGCAATGTTTCATGGAGTCAGAATAATGGAGGAAATGATTTGGAAATATAGGAGGCTGAATTTAGAGCATAGGTCACTTTAAATTAAGATTACGGAGGGGTAGCCCTGGCCAGTTTGGCTCAGCGGTTAGAGTGTTGGCCTGTGGTTTGGAGAGACCCGGGTTCGGTTCCCACTAAGGGCGCGTACCTTGGTTGCAGTTTGTCCCCGGCCCTGGTTGGGTTGTGCGGGTGGCAGCCACTCGATGTGTCCCTTTCACATCGATGTTTCTCTCTCTCTTCCTCTTCCTCTCTCTCCCTCCCACTCTATCTGAACAAAAAATAGAAAAATGTCCTCAGGTGAGGATAAAGAAAAAGATTATGGAGAGGTTCCAGGTATTTACAATAATTTTAGATTATGACCAAGGGGGTTAGTAGAATAGGTAAGAAAAAATACAAGATTACTGGAGATCATGGAATTAAGTGTCTAAAATGTTGGAAGGTTAATCTGTATAGAAAAATCACTAAACATTAGGAGAGTGCTAGTGCCAGAGGGATTAACAGCGAGCTGTAATCATCAAGGAATCGGAGAAACAACCAAGGGTTGGAAGATGACTGAAACAGTCAGTGTTGCGTAATGGTTGTAGTGGTCTGATGCCGAGAGTGTCACCGCTAGACATTTTTAGAGATGGAGGGAGGAAGGATGGTCTGCAAACTGCAAACAGGAGCAAAGAGAACTTTCTGGCTCACTGGAACAAGCAATGTGGTAAACAAAGCCACCAACACTTGGGATATCTGCAGGGAACCTAAAAGGAGAAGTGGATTTCAATTAAAGCAAGAAGGTAAGGGAGATGGTCAGAGAGCATCTGCGTTTATAAAGATTTTGGTGGTGAATAACAATGGTTTTCAGAAGGCAGAAAAGCTAGATTTTTAGATGTCGACAGGATTTTGAGAGTCAGAATAGATGTTCAGAGCCTTATATACACACATTGCAAACTCCAGAGCACCAATACAGAATTTTAAAAAGAGGTGTGATAGATATTCTAAGAAAGGAGAAAAGTAAAATTATATAAAATGCTCAAATAGAACCAGAGAAGCAGAAACAATAGGGGTAAAACACACTAGTTCAAAGATTAGAAAAAAAATACAAAAATGGCAAATATTAATTCAACTATAGCAACAAATACTTTATTTTTTAAAAAATGTATTGATCAGAGAGAGAGAGAGACATCTATTTTGTTGTTCCACTTATTTATGCCTTCATTGGTTGATTCTTGTATGTGCCCTGACCAAGTATTGAACCCGCAACCGTGGTAAATCAGGATGATGCTCTAACCAACTGAGCTACTCACTCAGTCAGGAGATATCAACAAACACTTTAAATGTGAATGGTCTGAATACCCCATTAAAAGCCAGAGGTTTTCAGAGTGAATTTAAAAAAGATACATCTATACATTGCCTGCAAGAAACCACTTTAATTGTAAAGGCACAGGTTAAACGTACAGAGTGGAGAAAGATACATCATTCTAACAATAATCAAAAGAAACCGTGAGTAGCTGTATTAATTTCAGACAAAGCAGACTTTAGAACAAGAGAAATTATCAAGCATAAAGAGGGGTGTTACATAATGATAAAGCGGTCAATTCTCTTAGAAGATATAACAATTTAAACGTGTCTGTGCCTATCAACATAACATCAAATTATGAGAGGGAAAAACCGGTAGAACTAAAAGGAGAAAAGCTTGAGAGCCCTAACTGTGAAATAGGTGTCTTGTATTCATAGCAAGCCCCTTTCAACCAGGTCTGCCTGACTGAGTTTAATAAGGTGACTTTTAGACATCACTGAAAGGGCTGGGGCTGGTTGCAAGCAAGGGGACATTTAGACTATAAATACTGAAAATCCGTCAGAACTATTTGAGTTTAGGTTTGGGTGAAGTGACTCTTTGCTGACCTAAAAACTCCCTGAAGACCTTTTAGACATTTGTTCCTATGAGGCCAAGCGACTCTTTAGTCGGTATTGGTGTTTAAAACAAGCAGAGAATATTACAGATGTTTTTGTTAAAACAAAAAACAACCCAGCAAAGGCCTTGGGGGTGATAACCCTTGGAGCAGCTCGGCTGGCTTGCTAACACTGGCATCTTGATTCCCTGGCAACATGCTCCAGCAACAGGGGACTTGTATGCTGGCAGCTGGAAGTCAGCTCCTGGTTGCTCTCCAACCCTCTGAGGTCTGCCTCCTCCTCGAATAAAAAGGCACACCTCGTATTACAATTTACACTTTATTCCCCTCATCTCCCCTTGCTTAGAATAATAGTGTGATTAATCCACCACTGGTTTAGAGTATGCTATTTCTTTAATTAGCTTATTAAGAGATACTATGCTGAATGATTTGGCTTATAAAATTATTATAATTCTCATAGTGAACCTGTACTAAATGAATTGCTGGCAAAGACAAAATCAATTTCTGGAACTTAATTTGGCTGCCTCCACAAGACAAAACAAAAAAGTCACACTCATCCTCTTAGGGCCTTGAGGGATAATATGTTTTTTTAAAAAATTAATTAATTAATTTTTGTTACAGATGTTTCTCCTTTTCCCCCCACTGATTTCCCCCTCTCCCACCCTCCCCGCCCTGTCCCCACCTTTGTTGTCCATGTCCATTGTTCATACATACATGCATATAAGTTCTGTGGTTTATCTCTCCCCCCACCCCCTTTTCTGGGGATGCTTTTTATCACCAAACACAACTTCATTAATCCAGTCAATGGACCAAAGCATTAGTTCAAGTTTTAAAGTCTTTTCTCTTTAATGGACATTTGGACAAGCTATTAAGCCTACATTCATCTAATTTCTTTAGTTGAGCTTTTAAAAAAATGATATCAAGCATATCACTGAAAATATTCAAGATTCTGATAGGAAGTAACAGTGAAAGGAAGTATGAGAGGAGCTTTTTACCATGCTGTGCAAGTAATAATGTAAATACAGTTAAAGAAGGAATAGCTGGTGGTAGAGATTACACCGTCATCATTTCAAAGAGTCCTGATATGCATTCAGAGGAACTTACTGAAGGGAATTTATTGGCATAAATAAAAGTAGCTGTGATAAAGATGATAAAGGCGCCCGAAGGAAGTGATGCCAGCCCAAAACTTCACGTGAAAGAAAAGGTTGAAAATATTTTATGTCTTTAAAAGCACAAAGGATAAAATGTTAAAAGTTGACCCCAACGTAGAAAGGAGTATGGCAGTTTTCTAAGACATGGAAAAGATGTTCAATCTGTTTAGTGAACTAGACCACAGAAGTTGTACCACTGTTCATGCTACTCTTAAAGCATGAAATAGATAGACCCCTTTAATTTTCAATGTTTCTAATATTTCAAACTATAGCATACTAAGTAATATTTATCCCACTATTTATTTATTTCCCTTTATATGTATAATCAACAGAAATAGAGTTTTTAATGTTTTGAGATATAGTTTGTAAAGTCACAAAACAAAATTTTCCCTTTGATTCTGAGATTGTTTTTGCATAGTTTCAGCTAGCATGGTGATTTTTATGTCCTGTAGTATTATAATAAGCTGTAAGTTTGCATTTACCTAGGATTAAAAAAAAAATGTGGCATGCCGACTTTGTTTTCACAAATATTAACTACTAGAGTCATTAGATTTTCCAGTTATTTCACATCCATTGAATACAGTTTCCTCACTTGAAGCATTTACAAGGGTTCCAAACCTGCAACAACAAAAATAAATAAGCAAAAATTAGTGGTATGCCTTATTTATCTTTAAAAAAGAGATTAATTACTTCATAAATCTAATCTGTTATGTCCAAAACTCATTGCTCTTTCTTCATTGAATTTTTTAAGTTAGAAGAAAGTGAGAACAGCTATGGTGATTACTTACACCACTGTGAGTATTCACAAGAGCCCTCAGCTGTCTCAGACCCCAAGTTTACCCCTTGGCCTCTGTTTCTAATTTTGTCCAACAGGTAACTTAGTCATCTTGGCTTGCCTAGGACACTTCTGATTTATGCTTGTGAATTGATGTAATTATCAACACTGCCTCCTTTCATTCCCCAAAGTGTCCTGGTTTGGACAATAAATCATCCAGTTATCCTGATTATAAATCTCTCATACTTGTATAATCTTCCTTTAATAAAGTATATAAGCTTATATTATTTACTCAACATGTAAACTAGTAGAAACAAAGCAAAATTTTCTTGGCTCCAAAGAAACACTTTATATCGCACAGGGTAATACCCTTGACTGTGATTTTTTTAATATATATATATATATATAACTTTTTTATTAAATTTTTAAAAATTAATCAATTAATTTTTAAAATTTTATTTTTGTTACAGATGTTTCTCCTTTTTTACCCCATTGACACCCTCCTCCCCATCCCCTCCGCTCCGACCCCAGCTTTGTTGTCCATGTCCATCGGTTATGCATACATGCATATAAGTTCTGTGGTTTATCTCTTCCCACCCCCCACCACCTCCTCTTCTGAGGGTTGTCCATCTGTACCCTACTTCCATGTTTCTGGGTCTATGCTATTCCTCAGACTGTTATGTTCATTATATTCCATATATAAGTGAGATCATGTGGTATTTGTCTTTTTCTGCTTGGCTTGTTTCACTTAGGATAATACTTTCCAGGTCCCTCCATGTCATCTCAAAGAGTAAGAGATCTTTCTTTCTTACAGCTGCATAGTACTCCATTGTGTATATGTACCACTGCTTTTTTATTCATTTGTCCATTGATGGACACTTGGGCTGTTTCCAGATCTTAGCTATTGTAAATAGTGCTGCTATGAACATGGGGGTACATATATTCTTTCTGCTTGGTGTTTCAGGCTTCTAAGGGTATATTCCTAGGAGTGGGATCACTGGGTCAAATAGAAGTTCAATTTTAAATTTTCTGAGGTAACACCATATTGTTTTACATAGTGGCTACACCAGTCTGCATTCCCACCAGCAGTGTACTAGAGTCCCCTTTTCTCCACACCCTCGCCAACACTTGTTGTTTGATGATTTGTTGATGGCAGCCATTCTGACAGGTGTGAGGTGATACCTCATTGTTGTTTTAATTTGCATTTCTCTGATGATTAGTGATGTTGAGCATTTCTTCATATGACCCTTGACTGTGATTTGATTTTGCATTAATAATTTCCATTTCTTAGTGCCATAGGAAATCAAGGAACAGTGGTGTGAAAGAAAAGGCAGGGAAGTAGAACAAAACTTCTGAATTTCTACCTCCTGTGCTCTTAATTCCAAGGGACTCCTTTTATATAGAATAGATATTTTCCTAAAAAATAATTTATTGGGGTACAGACAAATGCTCCCAAAATGTATTGCCTTCTTGTTATTCATTTTTAACCATATATGGAAGATGATTGTCAGAGAAACTTGTTCAACATTAGCATACCAAACATTCCTTTATGATTAACAAGACAGAAGGGACAGGTTGATTTAGAGTCACAGTGCAACATTTTGAAACATTCTCTGCCTTATTTATCTCAGTGAGTGTACAATTCAGATCCATCCTAGAGACAGGTGACGGAGGACATGCAGTGAACAGCTGTATAGAAATGAAACATCAGTTACTGCTCTTTTGTACCACTGGGAGCTAATTCAAGTACAACAGAACCAGATGCATGTCATCCAAATTCCACTTCTTGGTTCCTTGTCCCCTTTCCCTCAGTGAAACTTTAAAACCTTCTTTATTCTCAGGTTTCCTACTTACCACCACCACCTCTCTCCTACTCTTTTAATCTTTCCCTCTTCACTGGGCCCTACCCTGAAGCAAGTAAGAATGTCTTAAAAACTCTCCTGATACCATGAATTTTCTTTAATGACATAAAAGGTAACTTGTCTTCCATTAACATAAAACATTCTAAAGAGGAAATCTGGAGCTTAAGCTTTATTGCTTCTGCCTCATTCAGATTTTAAGTCATCCTTAACTGTTCTCTCTGAGCACTGTACTTTCCATTTTTTTATATATGAAACATCATAATCTCAGTAAAATAACCACTTGCATGAATCTTGATTTATTGCTTTGATTTATCTCTGATTAAAGCTCCTTTAAGATGTGTGAAGGCAGAGCTTGTTATTACATGCCCAGAATTAATCTATGTTGCAAACTTTAGTAAGCACAAGAAATGTTTATTTGAAAAATATAAAATGTTGTCAATATTTAAGCCACATGACTTAATTTATGAGACTGTTGCCAGAGTCGTCTTCTAATTGTTAACTAACACTCTATTTTTAGACATATCTTGGACTTTGGAAACAAATCATAGACTAGGATTTGAGCCTGCATTCTGGTGCTTATTACTCATGTAACTTTACAAACTGTACTTATTCTCTATAAACTTTAGCTTCCTGATCGGAAATTTAGGGATAATCATACTTACACCATACACTGTTATAAGGTTAAATAAAACATTAAATAAAAAGGTCTTTCCTTGTCCAGCCAGTGTGGCTCAGTGGTTGAGTGTTGACCCATGCACCAAGAGTTCACCAGTTTGATTCTTGGTCATGGCACATGCCCAGGTTGTGGGCCCGATCCCCAGTGGGGGGCATGTAGGAGGCAGCCAATCAATGTTCTCTCTCATCCATGTTTCTATCTCTCTCTCTCTCTCTCCTTTTCTCTCTCTCTAAAATCAATAAAGAAAAAAAAATTTAAAGTTCTTTTCTTGTTTGTGGCATGTTATAGGCATGTTATATACATAATGTTTGTCATCACTTGTGCATTATTTAACCTTTTTGAGGTATTTCCACTGTTGATTACATTATTTTTGAAACTCCTTATTTTAAATTCATCAGTTCTCATTGGATCATGCCTTTTTTTTCTTCTCTCCCTATTTCTTTAATCACTTATTCTTAAACACTTCTGCTAGTTTTTCTATCCCCCGCCCCAATAGTGTGGATATGTAGGATTCTATCTTGTGGCTTCTTAATCTACCAGCTCACTTTGGATGTTGTCACACAGTCTATTGACTGAAATTCCCCTTGATAATGGAGATCAGTACTTTATTCATCTGGCATTCCCAAAGAAGAGAACATGGTAATCATTGATAAATGTTTGGTGAGTAATTAATGTTTAGTAAATGATGGGTCAATAATTTTTTTCAATTTAACATTAAAATGTCAATTTACAGAAAAGGAGAGGAAGATGGCGGCGGGTGGGACCACAGGGAGGGTGAGTGTGTGAGAGATTTAAGCGGACGTGAAGGTGGATGACCAAACCTGAGCAGTGCAGAGCCGTGGAGTTAAAAGTTCCTGTGCTGTGGACAAGAACAGCCAGCACCTCAGTAAGCAGCCCTTCAGGGTGCTTCTCTCTGCACCATGGGGAGGTCCAACCATTTTGGAAGATCCTGGGTCTTCCCTGGGAGGAGGCAGTGGAAGTGGCTAGGTCTCAGCAACCTGAGCCCACCAGCGCAACTGGCGCCATTGGACCAGTGAACGTTCTATGTCAACACAGACCGGTGCACAGTAGTGGAGCTCCCAAGGTGCCAGTTGCCCAAGCCGCAAATAGCCCAGAGCCCAGCACCATCCCCAATAGTAGCAGCCTGATCAGAGTCCAGATATACCCCAGGCAACAGAGGCTGGGGAGCAGACATCCATCCCCAGACCACAGAAGAGCAGCTGAGACTCATCCCCAAAAACTAAATCAAAAGCTGAGTAAGAGTTGAGCTCCATGGGGCAGCAGTACTCCCCAGCCACGAGCGGCAGGACTTGGGCTCCACAGATGCCTGTGCAGTCCAGCAGCTCACAAGGGCAAGCTAGGGCCTGAGAGGTACTGGTGAGATCCAGCTGCCTGCCCATGGGACCTGCAGGGTGAGGGGCACCAGAGAGGCCTGTGCGACCCAGCAGGGACTGTGAAATCCAGTTACCAATGGGACCAGTGGGGTGCTAATGCACCAGAGAGGCCTGTGCGACCCTGCAGCCCATAACATAGGCATAGAGCCAGGTCCCCAAAGGGGCTGGGTGATTCAGTTACCCACGGGACCTGCAGGGTGCAGGGGCACCAGAAAGGCCTGTGTGACTCAGCTGCACAGATAGGCATAGAGGATGTAAAAATGGAGGCGGAGTGAATAGAAGCTATGCAGATGATCTCCCAGGACCAAATGGGAATTACAACTAAAATAAAGACAACTCCTCGGAAAAAAGCAACAGAAAAGCATCAGGAAAGGACCATATAACCAGGGACACTGGTATGATCTGTGGGGGCACAAGAGGGTGGCGGGCTGGGTGCCCACGGACAGCAGCAGTCTTAGCTGTGAGCAGCGCCCTTGGGGAATAAAGACCAAGCCCGCTCCACAGTGCAGAGAGCCAGAACAGAGCACTAAAATAGCCATAGACACTCACCTGGGGGCTATGGCAGAGGGAGGGCAGACTGGGCTGGAACTCTGTGGGGACACCCAGGATTTGGAGGGCACTCAGAGTTTTTTCAGAGTTGTGCCCACAAAGGACGGTGGCAAGTGTGCTCCTTTCATGAGCTGTGGGGAAAAGCAGCAGATGCCGCCGCCCACCCCTCCGCCCACCGCCATGATTCAGCCTTCCCAAGGTGAGGCGAAGAAATGCAAATTGAGGCTCATTAACAACCAGCATCCATTCCACACTCTGGAAATCCTCTTATGCACAACACCAGGGCTACATTCCAAGGCACTGAGTAACTGAGACCACTAGCCTCCAGGAAAAAGCTAGAGGATAACTGAATCTTTCCTGGGCTTGCAAATCTACCCAGGAAAGTAAGACTTGACAGTGGTGTTTAATGTAGGCCCGCCCAGGCTCATCCAAACCCAGTAGAGGGAGCCACATACAGCAGAACACCAACATCCAGAGGGAAAATTTGGCAGGCTCCAAAACCCATTAAAATAGCCCAAATGGTGAAACAAGGATACAAATCCCAAATGAAAAAACAAGAGAACTCCATTGACAATGAGATTAATGAAATGCAGTTAAGCAAATTATCAGAGGTAGAGTTCAGAGCCATGATCTTGAGGAAGCTCAACAGCATGAGTAAGGACATTAGCACCATGAGTAAAGATATAGAAACATTGAAAACCAGCCAAGTGGAAATGAAGAATGACATAGCAAAATTAAGAACATATTGGAAGGACTAACCAGAAGAGTAGAGGAAGCTGAGGACTGGAGCAGTGAAATAGAAGACAGGGTAGAAAAAAATCAACCAATCAGAAAACCAAAAGAAAAAAACAATTAAAAAACAGGAAGATAGCTTAAGAGAACTGCAGGACAACTTCAAACGTAATAATATTCACATCATAGGAGTCTCCAAAGAGGAAGAAAATGGGCAAGGGTTAGAGAATATATTTGAAGATACAGTATCAGAAAACTTTCTTAACATGGTTAAGAAAGAAGGCATTCAAGTTCAAGAAGCACAGAGAGCCCTAAGTAAGAAGAACCCAAAAAGGCCCACACCAAGACACATATTAAATAAAATGACAAAAATTGAAGACAAACAGAATCTTAAAGGCAGCAAGAGATAAGCAACAGGTCACCTACAAAGGAAACCCCATAAGGCATTGAGCTGACTTCTCAATAGAAACACTATAGGCCAGAAGGAAGTGGCATGAAGTAATCAAGGTAATGAGAAACAAGGATCTGAATCCAAGACTACTCTATCCATCAAGGCTATCATTCAAAATAGAAGGTCAAATAAAGAGCTTTCCAGACACACACACACAAAAAGGCTAAGGGAATATATTAACACCAAACCAGCACTGCAAAATATGCTAAAAGAACTGCTGTGATTAGTAGGAGAAATAGGAAGAAAAATAGAACCATGCTAAACAAAAATGGCAATAAATAAGTACATATCAATTATCACCTTAAATGTGAATGGACTGAGTGCTCCGATAAAAAGACACAGAGTAGCTGACTGGATAAGAAAGCATGACTCACATATATGTTGTTTACAAGAAACCCACCTCACAACAAAAGACTCACATAGGTTGAAAGTGAAGAAATGGAAAAAAATCTTTCAAGCAAATGGAAAGCAAAGATAAAGCTGGGGTAGCAATACTCATATCTGATAAAGTAGATTTCAAAATAAAGACTATGACTAGAGACAAAGAAAGCCACCACATAATATTAACAGGATCTATCCAACAGGAAGATATAACTTGGTAAACATATATGCACCCAATATAGGAGCACCAAAATATATTAAAAATCTTCTGGAGGACTTCAAAGGAGAAATCAACAGCAATACAATCATTGCAGGGGACTTCAGCAACCCACTGACACCACTGGATAGATCCTCTAAACAAAAAATTAGCAAGGAAACAGAGACTCTAAATGAAGCACTAGACCAAATGGATTTAATAGATATCTACAGAGAATTACACCCCAAAACTTCATAATTTACATTCTTCTGGAGTGTACATGGGGCATTCACATGTTAGGGCACAAACTAAGTCTCTACAAGTTCAAGAAGACTGAAATCATATCAAACATCTTCTCAGATCACAATGGCATGAAACTAGAAATCAATTGCAACAAGAACATGCAAAGACATTTGAACACTTGGAGGCTAAATAGCATGTTAATAAA